GGGGGGGGGGGGGGGGGGGGGGAACAGAAAAAAAAGGCAGAACGAAAAATATGAGCCGTCGAAGTTTGGCGAACGCGCGACTGGCGCGAGTCTGAAGAGATATTTTGTAAAACTTTAATTTATTAATTTCAGCTATATTTTACTTTAAACAATAACTTCAACTCTTTGTAGCTATAATCGTACAGCTATAACCAGTGGCGTAGCCAAACCTTAATTTTGCGGCGGCGAACCTCACGCCGAAGGCGTGAGACCCAGAGGCGCCGGAATATCGATAATTGCGGCGGCAGATATTCATATATTCGTGTTCACAGACTGTAAAAACAATCGATTTCAAAAGAAATTAATTGGGCAGAACACGAATATATGAATATCTCCCCCCCCCCCCAATTATCGATATTCCGGCGCCTCTGGTGAGACCGTCTAGGAGGGTCCGGGGTCCGGAAAATTATGAAATCCGTAGGGTCCCTGAATTGCGATTTCATGCATTTTGGGGGTGAAATCTTGCAGAATTCCGAAGATTATAAAGTAGACATAAATTTTTCCAGACATTTCTACTCGGAATTAAATAAATTGGAAAAGTCACCTTGAAAAATAGGAGTAGGGGTCAGTCACCTTATTTCCTCTCTGTGATGCCGGGGGGGGGGGGGGGGGGCCCAATGTGATTTTGATCAGAAATGTTGCATTTAAATCATTTTAGGTTCTATGAGACACCATTTCCGCATTCTAAAAATTGTGTTGCTTTTTCATACGATACAGAATAAGTCTGAGAAGAAATATTCATGCTATGATGATGCATACATACATGTATTTAACAGTTAAAAATCTAAACTAAATCTATTCTTCTTGGAACCATATCTACAACTGCTTTAACGAGATTTCACAAATCAAGTTCCTCCAGTATATCGAGATTTCACAAATCAAGTTCCTCAGTCGAGACGTACTTAATCAGTTTCAGCTTCGAGCATGTAACGTGTACCCCTCCCTCCCCCCCCCTCAATTTCTCTACGGATTTAGCCTTTCTGAGAGAATGGCTTTTGTGGCGATTGGGGGGGGGGGGCTTTTAATATAACTTGATGCATGAGATCAATCGCTATTATGAAATACTCGGTGAAGAACAATATGAATTACACACAAGATGGCTGTGGAGGAGGCTGTGGAAGGGCATAATCTCATTATCAAGTAAATCACGTGCAATAATGACAGCAATCATGAGCAATTCTGCTTCTGGGGGGAGGGAGCAAATTCTTTCCCTGGGGGGGGGCAATTGCCCCCCCCCCCTACAGATATATAGTTATAAAAAGGCACTGATACAGCATAATATACAGTCTGAAGTGAAGGGGGTAGTTCTATTTTTCAAGTATAGTTTCATCACACACAATTCACATGCAGCATAATTTATTCGCGGGTTGTCGGGCTTAACTTAAGGCCTGATAGCATTGCATGAAATTACCCATCCAAATAAATCGATCAAAACATAATTGGAGATCGAAGATTGAACTGGAATATCATACAAAGTACTATCAGTTTTTACTAGAAACTCATTGTTGCAAGATTATCACGTGATTGTGATGTCTATTGAAATTTGATGAGGCACTGTTGGAGAGCTAAATGTCTATAAGCTTTCGAATAAATGGGAAGGTAACATTTACTCTATACTGCTTTATTCTCTTCCAGTGTTACGTTTGAATATATGTCTAATTATATTATTCTGTTGTCAATTTATTGCCCTGTACACTGTTAGTTCAAGAATTTTTTTAAACTAGATTATCTTAATTAAAATCCATTGACGATGTGCTTTGTAAACCCGTCGTTGGAGATCATGTATGCATATAATGGAAGTGCATAGACATAGTCAACATTACCTCATCTCATAACCACGATCTCCAGGAAATTCTCCACCCGGCATCATTACAGAATAAGAAGGCTCATCATACTCATGGACTTCACCTTCAATGAAAAAATATATACACTAATCGAACAGCGATACAGTGAAATTGTACAAAAAGTACATTAATATGACAAAGGTATAGAATAATAAACAGACAACATTTCATCTCATACCTAAACCAGTTGGTAAGGGTGGCAAAACAGGATGTTTTAATGTACATACTAAACACCCTTTGTTCGTTCCATAATATTCCACTATCTCAGACAATGAATAGTATATCCTATTCTAAAATGAAAGAGAAATCTTTTGTTGGCAGGCGATATCTTATAAATAGTTATTCCCTCGCCTGATGGCGGCAATGGGATAGTATAGTCATATATAGATATAGATAGTATAGTCATATATATATATATATATATATATATATATATATATATATATATATATATATATATATATATATATATATATATACCAAAAATAATAATTTTTCTTTCCTCACAGTGTATACTTGAACAGCCTGAAACCATTAATTGGTTTATATGACTAATATGTATGCATATATATGTATGCAGCTTGTATCATTTCGATGCAGTCTTCAGTAAATAGCTATTCCTCCATCAAAACAATATTATGTGGCTTTTTAACCATGTCTCACGTGAATGAAAGCTTCCACACGCATACAAAATTTCTCATTCAGACAATATTAGACATATATAACTGGTAATCATGCAATGACTACCTTCCCACATTAATATTAAATAAATATACAAAATATTCGAATTTTGATGAATGATAATCTCCCTGTAAAGTATGGTGCGTTTCCTTAATTCCCACTCCCCAAACTCAATTTTACTTTTGTCAGGGTAATCAAGTTGCTATACCGGAAATTAATTGTTCAAAACATCGATAGTGAACTGGAAGAGAAGGGGTCACGAAATTTGTTTTCTCAATGGCAATGCATGCTCATTAACTGTGAAATAATGCGCGGACTGATCTTATGTCCAAGATTGTATCTATGATTTTTGAAAGTATTTTGGGTTGTTTTTGGTTTAGGCATGAAGTTATGTGTTTCAAGTATTCAAAATCATCAAAACTCCATAAATGATATCCCTAACTGCAGAAAATGGCATTTTAAACCATGCATGGAGTTTCAAACAGGTTCCAGTCTCTAACCGAAATCTACTGAGCTCGAGCTAAATTAACGGCTAGTTAATTTAGCTCAGCAGTTCAAGGCTGCCACTCGTAGGGGGATTCCCCTACAGTAGGGGATTATCACCTCTTGTAGGGAGTAGGGAATACCTACGGGGAAAATGGTAATTTGTAGGGGAACGTAGGGGGTTTCTTTTACGGTTTACCTACAAAAGTCGTATTTCTCTTTTTGTGATTATCCAAATCAGTTCTTCCGTAAATTTCAATATTTTATGGCTTCTATGGAGTATGGAACATTGTATGGAACTGCAGGATTTTTTATGGAAACTAGAAATTTAAATTTGAATGTGGAAGCACTGAAATATCATGTGATGAGTATGGTGATGAGTGATATTGTATTTTCCCAGGAGAACCTTCACGCGAAAAAAGTGCAGCCAAAAACATGGCGGATTTTGGCCTTTGCTGACGGCATTTCCATGACAACTGGTCCGTAATTCTCACCACTGACCAGGCTCGGATTTGAGCCCGCTACAATTTCCACACCCCCTGGTTATTTGAAAAAACTTTAGGTTTTTGCAATTTTGCTCGGGTTTTAGAGTAATAGGGAGTTTGAGCTTCACGTTTGCGGGAGCGCCAAACGGCAAGGCCGACTTTTCTTGGCATAAAGTCGTTCGATTTCTGCGTGTCATATTTTCCTTCATATGAAACAACAAGCCCATTTACTTTTTATCGCTTTTTATCGTAGAATTTTTCTTTGCCTGACGTTCGTCGTTGAACGTGAAGCTTAACTCTCTATTGTGTAGTAAGTATAAGAGCAGGTCCTCCAGTTATTATACAGCCCAGTGTATTATCCCTACAAATATACAATATTTTAATAGTAGGGAAAATACAATATTTGTAGGGGAACGTAGGGGAACATTGGGGACAATTGCATATCGTGCTGTAGGGGAAACGTAGGGGATTTCAGTGCCCGCCATAGGTGAAAATAGGGAACGGAGAGTGGCAGCCCTGCAGCAGTTTCCTCCTGGAATTTTTCGGGCCCCTTATAGGCTCTTGTCAATGAATGGAAAACCTGGAAAATTATTCCATCATTCTTACTTCAAACAAAAACCTTCTGCAGGTATCTTGCAATATTCTGTAATGGTACACGTTGTTCTGAAATCTAGAAAAATAAAAAATGTAAATTTGAAAATCAAAACATTCAGTCAAAACAATTTGTATGTATAGGTTGAACAATCTATTTGTCATGGTATGATCTGTGAGCTCATTATTTCACTCCTCTGTATTGGCTTTGTTAAATTCCGAGGGGCAGGCATTTCACTCCAAAAATCCCGTACACTTTGGAACTCCGGCACAATTTGGAAAATCCGTGAAAATCTATATTAAGAATTCGTTCAAAGGCTAAAGAATCGATAGAAATTAATTGGGGAGAAATCCACAAAAAAAACAAAATTTCCAAAATCCAACGAAACTTCTTCTAGTAAAAAATTCAGGAAAAGATCCACCAAAAATCCGCGGAATTTTGAAAGTCCAAATGTCATACTCATGGTTTTCTGCGGAATATTTCAAATTGACATTTTTAAGATATCAATCTGCTATTCATACGACATATATTGTTCAAGCAACATAAGTGATTCAAATTAACAAACTTAAACAATTTATTGTTTTCCCATGCATGCACTGCCTACGCACATATATAGCATAGCTGAGACTATTTACCAAATGGATTAACCACAAAATTACATATACATGAGTCATGACGATTATTGCATAAAATTTTAACACATGCACTGTAGCCTATATATAAGCTTCCTGCTTATAGGAATAATTTTAAACTATCCTCACATATAGATCGTTATCGCGATATTCCTGAATAGTATCCGTTTCAACGGTTTAATATGAAATTTAATATAATACTGTAGTCAATAGCCATAGCGAACCGAATAGATTATCATGTGTGCCTCGTTAATTCATGGCTAATTTAGCCATATCACCGATCAGTGATTTATTTTCAACTCAAGTATACTGTTAACTTTAATTTATCAGACTTAATTGCCCAAATATGAATGTAAACAGATTTGAATTCTTTGTTATAAGCACAAGCCGGCTATACAGGTTGAATGTGCAGCTGTACAATTTTTCTGAAGTATTTATTTTAGCTGTCACGATTGAAACATGCCACGTTGACTAGTTTGATGTGATTCGATTACGTTTTCGCAAAAGAACACTTCAGTAGGCATCGACTACGTCCTTCCTGTAGTTACATCAACAATCCTGTGCTTTTATTGTTTACAATATTTACTCCGACGTTTATGATGAAGCAAACTTTATCATGCAACTTACCCAACCGAAAGTACAAATGCATTCATCACTGTTTCACTGTTACGCATTAAATAACTACCATCTGGGTGAAACTGACGAAATCGTCTGACTGCTTCTTCTTTGGATATCTTCCCATGATGCCAGAGCAATTCAGACATACTTGCGTGTTAGTCTTCGTGTTTGAAATCACATCATTTTCTAACAGCTAACGGCGAGCATTTGTATGGATGACTGATTATGATGATGAGTCGTCATGTGCAAAGTTTGCCTCCCTTGCTCATGCTGAGTATAACAATTGATGAATACATCTTAACTAGAACAGGAAGTTGAGTTCTAACTCAAGTTTTTTCTGCCAAATTTCAATAATTTTTACATACTGTAGAATAAGAATACATAGGTATTTGTAATAATTTAAAATTAAAGTGCCATTATTAATTACGGATATACTTTTCAGTTCCAGCATAAAGAGAATTGAATTACGATCATGTTGCCAAGGTGTCGACCGCTTTTCGGCTATTAGTTAAGTATTTTTCATAATGGCCTATATTTCATGGCAATATTTGTGACACAATCTTTTAGCCCTCAATTGAATTGATTCTTCACTTTGGTCTTTGCATAAATATACGCGATGGTTTCAGCGTTTATTAAAGTTTAATTAAGGCTTCATGAATCATGGTCTTGTTTTTGACTTTCAGAAGTCAAAAATTTAATTGAATATAGGCTTGAACCCGAGCTTGAATCCATCGCTTGTATGATCTTTTCAACTCAACCAATGACTTTCGCTTTAAAGCCTTCGTAAAATTTACCGTTCTTCACAGTACCTTAACTTGCAAATCATTTTTTTCGATTCAACGCGCCAGTTTGAATTGCTGCTGCAGACAACTCGATCAGATCATAGACAATGCGAACATTGCGTGACTCACGGAAGTTAAAAGAAGATGAATTTGGGATCATAAAGCTTGTCATGATTTGGATATTTCAAAACACAAATTTTATGCAAAACTCTTTTAGTCAAAGTTTGCTTACATGAACGTCATCACAAAAACATCAACCTTAAGTCGCTCCAAAGGAGCTCTGGAAGGAATGGCTTATGGCGCTTCTTTCGACGCGCGTCTTCTATATATCATCATGATTAATTGGAATGAATTTGTTTTGCTACTCCCGTCAGATGCTCGCTGCTTCATGCGGAGGTCTCGTGAGTTTCTAGGGGCCAAATCTCCAGATCTACATATAATTGTGCCCAAATCGCATTATAAGCAGGGACGCCGGAACGATCATAAGGCAAAGGGGGGCGGACGCACACCAAGGGCACCTATACAGAGCTAAACTTCCAAATATACCGAAAAATATTTTTTTTCAAAATTTTTAAGCGACTTCTCCCCCCCCCCGGTCGCCAAAAAAATTTTGGTCAGTGTACCATTTTAGGGGTCCAAATTTTTTTCCGGACATAACAAAAGGCATATATTAACTATAAATTGCCTGAATCTCATATTTTTCCTGCAAAAAGCATCGTTGGAAATGTGATTTATCACGTAAAATTTTAAATCTAAAAGGGCACTTCTGCCCCCCCTGCCCCCCTAGCAAAAGGCAGGGGGGGCAGCCGCCCCCCCTGCCCCCCCAGTTCCGGCGTCCCTGATTATAAGCAAATCATAGAGAAGCTATAGCATTCGATTGGATTCCATATTGGCGGCAGCGGGACCTTTTCCACTACTATGGTGAAGTGGACTGGGACACAGACTATGATTAGCCATCTACTTTATAAAACGAGAAAACTTTCTAAAATCATTAGTTAAGATAAAAACACACGCCAAAATCGCAATCAATGTTCTATTAATAACATATTCCATTAATTCCAACTATGAAAAATATATGACATCGTCTAAAGCCGGTTTTCCACTTCGCCCGTATCGTAGCGAAACGTACTGGTGAGCATGCGCAGATTGAAAAGAGGTTTATAAATCCACGTACTTCCGGGTGTATTCGCGTATCAAAATAAAAAGTTCGTCGCAAGTCAACTTTTTCGCGTACTACGGAAATACTAATCACGAAATTTTGAAATTTAAAAACGTTTTTGATACGTTTCGGTACGGTACGCTTGAAGTGGAAAACCGGCTTAAGAATAATGCAGATTGATAAGGATATACGCTTCGGATCAATCGGGTGTCAATCTTTTTCGTCACTAAAATGGCTAATAAAATGGCGGAATACAAAACAACCAAAACATTTTAGCGCGCAAAGCATCACGGTTGACTGTGATTCTTTAATGCGTCGCAATACGGTGTGGGCTCAGTGTATTTATTGCACACAAATAAGATGACGGAAGACTGCAGCAACCAAAAGATATGAGAATTTTCATATAGATAACCCCAAAGTTTAACTGATACAAACATGCATATAGCACATGCTGCGATTTGCAGTTCCCGAGCAAATTACCCTCACAATCCAACGTTTAGAAACTCCCGTCTATGAATTCTAATTTAGATTGAATTTAGGTAAATTAAATTAAACTTTGAATGTTTTTAGTTGTCTTTGGTGTCAACCCAGGTATATAAATAGTAAATGTTCCCGATGACTAAATGCACATAATTGTTTCTTTCAAATGTTCCAAAGCTTTTTCTTTGATATAAACTGTTTTTCAATTTCTTTAAATGAGTATCTTAATATAAATATTGTTCTCGAGAGTTCACAAAAATAAATTCGCAAAGCGGTCTTTCCTGACAATTCGAGGAAAGAGTTACGAAAATAGTTTCGTTGCTTAATTGATATATAAGCAATCAGTGGACATCTGTCGACATCATAAAAGTTTCTTTCATTTAATCAGTATAAGAAATATTTGATAAACACTGAACGAAAAAAGAATTTAATTCTATTACACTTTCAAAACATGAACTGCCTCTTTGTATTGGAAACTGTCGCATGCAGGCAAAATATATACATATAACATTATAAGGATTATTAGCTACAATTATAAAGGTAGGAAAAGCGTTATTTTATTTGTAATTAATGTTTTTAATTGCATGTATATAATGAGGGAGTCATTTGTGTTTGCTTGGACCGACTGTATTAATCAATATTAAATTATTAATTAAATTGAAAAAGGCATCAACTCTTGCACAAAAGATACTTAATTAATTTTAATGTCTTTAACCGTATGAAGAAATTCATTAAAACCAGCTGAGTCTCAACATTTTTGAAGGGAACTTTCATGAACCCAGCCATACGTATTTCGTTCTTTGTTCAAACAATACCACCAACCGTCAGTACGAACCCCTTGCAAAATCATTTCATCTCCTTTCTTGAAATCCATTTCGTTCTCTTGTCCTGTACTGTCAGTCTTGGCGATAAATTTCTCCCCACAGTCAACCGGAATCTTCAGTGAAAAGATTTTAATGTAAATATAAAAAATATACTAATTGATACGGGGGAAAGACTGGTTTCCAGAGATTTACGTCGTAATAACTGCAATTGAAACTGATTAACGCCAACCGATGTTCTAGATTGTCTATGCTTGATTGCTTAACGAATGTAAGTGAAGAGTCAGATAATTATTAGTTAAATTTAAAATGTGCTTAAAATTTCATGTACAGTAATATTTCAAATTCAACTAGGAGAACTGGACTAGATTTCAAGTCCGCGCAATTGGATCACGATGCGAGGAATAGCCTAAATCACTTTTAATTTTGATCCAGTCCAAGGACTGAATTCATTTTGATCCATGAGTTCTAGCACTAGTTCAATTAATATACTTCCGATCACGTATCTTTATAGTATTATCATTTGAACAAAATAGAGTAATATGGTTGGCTCAGTAATTTAGTCACGATTTTTAATGAGTTTGAGACGAAAACTTTCGAACTGAGATACATAATCACCAAGTGTTTGGGGAAGAGGTACGCGAAAGTTGAGAATTTAGCCGAAACTTTCAAATTCGGCTATATACATAGACTTGTACATAAACAGGCTTTGAGATTGGTTGATTATGACAATAAAAGCAGTGGCGTAGCCTGCAGGTTCTAAACTTGGGGGGGGGGGGTTAGGCATTTCGAATGCGAGACTAAAAGGCATGCTCCCCCTGTCCTTTAGGACAAGGTTTGAAGAAAAGTTACAACCACAAAAAGCCATTTTAAATTAAGTCGCCCAATGTCGTTAGATCGAAAAAATCTTTATGTAAAACGTTGTACTGTACACGCAGATATACAACAGCGAAATAGCACGATGTCTTAGTTTTTGTAGTAAAAAGAATGAAGCTCACTTGGCCGTTATGACTGCTGCTATGCGCGCAAATTCAAGTTCAATTGTGCTTTCAACAACCATATTACATTTTTACTGTAGTTAGGATTCTAGATAGGGAAGACTACAACTTTTATCGGTAAACAAAACAGATGGGTATCATTATTGACACATCGCCCCCCCCCCCAATTTCTGCCTCGATTTCAGCTTTTCACAAGGGCAGTCCTTCTGCCCATTGGGCGGAGGGGCAGAGCCCGCCCTTCCTACGGCACTGAATAAAAGACTAATATTATAACTGTTGAAATCGAACTTCTAAAGAACTAATAATAAACACTACATGGTCACTTTTGTTTCAGAAAGCCAATGACAAAGGTATTCATATAATAGGTTGGTTTTCTTACCAATTTTCTTATATATATTTCAAAAACTGAGCGTCAAATTGTGCTCGGTCTAGGGAATTAATTCAATCAGACAATCGCGCAAGTTTACCGGCTAAAATATGTCAAAAGGCAATATTGGAATTTGCTTTTCTTTGATTAAAGTTTCAAGCAACAATAAATTCGATCTCAACCCGCATAAGGACTGCATGTAATGAGCTAATCTAGAATTCAATACTTCTTTCGACAACTTATGGCCTATCACGTTGGCAATAAAACTATATTATTTGAAAAGTTTTGACTTACGGCATGACAAGGAACGTCGACATCGTCTTCACTTTCAGATAAACCATCGTTCCACTCGTCATAGTCATCTTTTTCATGATTTACCTGGTCACACTCCACTTTTTCTTTATTGCCAAAAAGTTTATGTGGCCTACAATATTAAACCATATAAACATAGATCTGCAGTATGGGAAAATGAATCAGCTCAAAGGCATAAAATCAATCATGTAATTCGATATCATCACAGATGGAAAAGGATGTCAAAGTTTAAATATTCTAGATCTATCCTAAATTAAAGGAGAATTAATATTGTTTTTCAATGCCAATGGTATGAACATGCAGTTTTACGGCTTAATTTGTGTAACCGATTTTGGATTGACTAATTATAACAAGAAACTTGCCATATATAATAATAATAATAATAATAATATGTATTTCTATAGCGCCATTTCCTATAGCTCAATGGCGCTTTACAGTATTTAGAAAATTTTAATATATTTACATCAATCCATTTAAAAATTTAAGTTTATTTACAGTTACTATATAAAAGTCAATATAAGAAGTGAATAAGATAAAAATTCAGTTAGATAGATACAACTAGCAATAGTTAAAATTGGTAAAACTAGTGTCAATTACTTATAAAATTTTTTAAATAGATATGTCTTCAATTTTGTTTTAAAAATAGATATTGATTCACTATGTCGTACTGAATCTGGAAGTTCATTCCATAGTTTTGGTGCTGCATATGAAAATGATCTTTGACCATAGTTGACCAACTTTATGGGGGGTATTGAGAGTAGTCCTTTCATCGATGAACGTAGATTCATTGTTGATTTGTGCGGTTGCAGCATATCCCTAATGTAGCTTGGTGCAAGACCATTTAGAGCTTTGTAGGTGATGAGAAGTATCTTGTAAATGATACGTTGGCTTACGGGAAGCCAGTGCAGTTCTTTCATAACAGGGGTGATATGATCAAATTTTCTACGTCTTGCTATCAAACGCGCTGCACTGTTCTGCACATTTTGTAATCGATCAATCATGAGTTTTGGCAACCCATATAGCAGAGACTTACAGCTATCCAGTTCAGAAGTAATAAATGAGTGGACCAGAGTTTCAGTGTCTGCTGTAGATAGATAAGCTCTTATCTTTGCTATTTTACGCAAATGAAAGAAACATGTCTTGCAGATATTAGTCACATGTTGATCTAGAGACATATGTCGGTCGAATGTTACGCCAATGTTACTAGCTGTTTCAGATGGTTGGATTTTAAAATTGGATATATCTATATGATCTATAAGCGGGCATGGGCGATGGCGTGCATTTATTACTAACAACTCTGTCTTGTCTCCATTTAGCTTCAATTTATTACTAACCGTCCACGAGTCGATCTCTCTAACGCATGTTTCTATTCGCACAAGTGCACCCGGTTATTCATCTGTAGTTGGCTCAAAAGCAAGATATAGTTGCGAATCATCAGCATAGAAATGAAATGAAAGTCAAGTTCATGACGTCTAATAATATCTCCAATGGGCGAGGTGTATAACAGGTACAAAATAGGGCCCAGAACTGAGCCTTGCGGAACTCCCCAATTGAGATCTTTAGCAGCAGATTTAACGCCATCAATCATCACAGTTTGTGTCCTGTTTTGAAGGTAGGACTGAAACCATTCTAGCACCTTGTCTTTAATTCCAAACCGTTTTGACATTCGTTCCAATAGGATTTCATGGTCAACTGTGTCGAACGCGGCTGACATGTCCAACAACAGCAAAACTACACATTTCTGATTGTCAATAGCGATAAGAATGTCATTCTGAACTTTAAGCAGGGCCGTTTCGGTACTGTGGAAGCGTTTATATGCTGATTGGAGAGGTTCTTCTAAGTTATTATTGACTAAATGTTCCATGAGTTGAGTAGCAACAGCTTTCTCGATTATCTTAGATAGAAATTTAAGATTTGAAATTGGTCTGAAGTTTGAGTATTCTTCGAACTCCAAATTGCTTTTCTTCAGCTTAGGTTTTAACATAGCCTCTTTGAGTTGTACAGGCATGCATCCAGTTTCGAGTGACTTGTTGATGATGTTAGTAAACGTAGGTAGTAGAGTCTTTTTACAGCCTTTAAGAATTGTTGCAGGTATAGGGTCGAGTTCAGAGGATTTTTTGCCATTCGCGTCAACAATATTTTCGACTTCTTGCTCCGTTACCGTTTGAAAGACTCTAAACTCAACGCATTGTGTCAACAGTTCCGCTGGTCTCAAATGATTGTCATAGGTGGATATATGGCCAAATCACTACGTAAAACTGCTATCTTGTTACTAAAGAAGTCCCCAAAATTATTAACTAGCTCAGTTTTTGATGATGTAGTTGGATAACATTTCTCTGGTTTTCTGTGAAGTAGTTTGTCAACTGTATCAAACAATACTTTCTGATTATATTTATTATTAGAAATGGCGGAGGAGTAATATGTTGTCTTCGCTTCCTTGATCATATCATTCACTATCTGACATTGTTTAATATATATCTCTTTGTCAATGCACAGTCTAGATGCTCGCCAACGACGCTCAAGTCTTCTACGGTGTCTTTTGGCTTTACCAATTTCCTCGTTATACCATGGTGCTGATGGCCGGAGAGTAATAGTTCTTCGTTTTAAAGGCGCATGTTTCTGTAAAGTTTCTTCCAAAGTCTTTTCGTACTGATCGATAATAGTTGGTAGCTCACTGTCACTACTGAAGTTCGACTTTCCTAGGTCTTCGTTAAAACTATCCATGTTTATATTCCGCAGCTTGCGATACTGGATTTCGGCACGTTCCAGTGGTGGTTTCTCAAGCTCATACAGCTTACAGCTGAATGATCTGAAAACATGGGGTCGTGTATTTCAATGTTAGTCACCAGTCGATCGCCAATTCTTGTTATTATTAAATCTAGGGTGTGACCCTTCTTGTGAGTTGGCCCATTCACGTGTTGTTGTAGATTGAACGATTCCAATATTTTATTGAATTTTATGGTATCCGGGTTAGTATTGTTGTCCACATGGTAA